TTCCAGGGGTGTATTTACCACAAGGCAAACAAGGCATTTGCCTAGGTCAGTATTTTTCAGGGGGGGGGGGGGGTGCAGCACTGCCCCTTTCTGGAAGGGACAGAAGAACACACACGGTATGGGGACCTATGGGTTCTGAGAGAGAATACGGGTTTCATGACGGTGTATGTATAGCCCGACTCTCATTCCTGGGGATGTTTGGAGCTGTGAAGGTGAGTTACTTTCTCTCTCGCCATGGGGGGTGGTGGCTGGTGTATGGGGGGCAGTGGTAGTGGAACGCTCTCTTGGGTGGGGGGCAGGTGTGTTGTTGGCCAATGTCAGGCTCTGTCTGCGGGGGGGGGGGGATTTTTGTGTTGCCTAGGGCAGCACAAAACCTAACTACACCACTGCCTGCTTCATCCGTTGTGGTGTTACACAATGGCTGAGCCAGACTTCTCTTTTTCACAAGGGTTGGTTTATTAAGGTAAATATCTGTTCACTTTGCCAGAGGAGCTGCACTCTGCAAGGGGATTTTCCACAGAGTTTAGTGAATATGGTGCAATTTCACTTTGCAAAGAATACCCAATAGCATGAAATGAGAATAAAAAAAAAATCAGCATTAGATGATAAAGGTCAGCAGAACTCCAGCTCATTCACTAAGGGAATAAAGTACAACTTCTCTTGTAAAGCAAAGTCTTTTTTCCATTAGTAAATCAAACCCTATGAGTCCACCAAAACATTAAAAATGTACTCTCTGTGTTGCAAATATATTATCGCAGCAGTTGTAATATAAAGAAAAACAGAGCAATTGCAAGAGAAATGGAGCTTCATTAAGTATTTAAACCACAGATCTATATATTTAATAAAACAATAAAAATATGAAAGGCTGAATCTGTAACAATCAAATATGAAACAGCAAGTTTGTAATGTGAAAGCCATATAAAAACGACTTTAAGGTAATCACTGCAATGATTAAAAATATATGCTAATTGAAAATATACGTTTCCCTTTACTTAAAACCTGGATTTTACTAGTACATGAGGATAATAAAGATTATGAATGTTAGATGATCTTCTTAGATGTATACAGCCAAATGTACATCCTGAATTGCTTTAGGAAGGAGATCGGCACTGTATAGAATAAAAAAAAATCAGCTGCAAATACCAAGCTGGGAACAGGAGTGCTTTCTAACAATGCCTGGAGGCTGTTAGCAGCAGAGCTTGTAGATTATTTCTATGCTCCCTCCATCAGCTTAAACACAATGGTACATACACATATGGTCATTGAAATCTGTGTTTTTTATGTAAACATTTTAGTAGCCCTGGTTAGGTTTGTATGTGGTGTGCTATCTCTACTGGGACCTAGTGCATCTATAATGTACTCACTAATACAAATTAGTGGAAGCAGTTTATTTATTCACTGCTCTCCATATGTAATGACTAGAAGGATTTTGGTGTATATCAAACACAAGATGGTCAGAGCCAGCCTGCAATTTATTCAAAGAGCATATTTAGCATTGTAAAGTCATGGTGATAATGAGAGTTTGCAATCATTTTGTTCTGATTCAAATCCAACGTGCAGTCATGTTTTTTTTTTTTTGAGGACTGAACGCAGCAGGTGGTGTTCCTCAATATTCATGTAAAGCCTTCAAGCCATCTAAATCCATAACCTAGAATGATTATGTGCAGTGGCTCAGTGAGAAGATCAAGTCATTAACCTTAGTTTCTTTTAGTAGACATCAAGGAAAAGTCTGTGGGATTTATAAAAAGTAATGAACTGCTGGTTAATTAGAAGATGCTGTAGAGAAACGGTTCTATAAAGGTTACTATTATGATGGACATTTTGGCTGCTAACAGCTGAAAAGTTTGAAACCTGGACACTGTATGGACTTCCAGTTCTCTGTGTGTTTTTTCACTTTGGCACTTGAAAAATGCATCAGTGTGTTCAGTTCAGTCACCAGTAAGATAGGAATAGAACTTTCTAGTAACACCTAGTGGCCATTCTACCCCTTGGTTTACAGAATGAAATACATAAGCATACCTCTGTTGAATGGTTTTGAAGTAAAAAAAAATTCTGGAGGAGATTGCTGTGTACCAGCTCTCTAGGGAGCACAGAGTCTAGTTACAATAATGCCATTTTCATTTGCTTTTTCTAAAATGTAATTTAAAGGAAATTTGCATTTTTAATGTTTCACTCAAAGCATTATTACAATTGCTGCTCCCCACCAAACTGAATTTGTAAACATTTTCTTTGCTGTTGTACATTTTCCCAAGGGCAGTGCCCGGAGACCCCCCCCCCCCCCATTTATTATAGGTAGTTATATAAATGTACAGTCATGGCCGAAATTGTTGGCACCCTTGATATTTCTCCAGGAAATCATGTATTTCTCACGAAACGTATTGCATTAACACATGTTTTGCTATACACATGTTTATTCCCTTTGTGTGTATTGGGACAAAACAAAAAAAGGGAGGAAAGAAAGCAAATTCGACATAATGTCACACAAACCTCCAAAAATGGGCTGGACAAAAGTATTGGCACCCTTTCACAACTGCGGATAAATAAGAATGTTACAAGCATGTGATGCTCCTGTAAACTCACCTGGGGCAAGTAACAGGTGTGGGCAATATAGAAATCACACCTGAAAGCAGATAAAAAGGAGAGACGTTCACTTAACCTTTGCATTGTGTGTCTGTCTGTGCCACACTAAGCATGGACAACAGAAAGAGGAGACGAGAACTGTCTGAGGACCTGAGAACCAAAATTGTGGCAAAATATCAACAATCTCAAGGTTACAAGTCCATCTCCAGAGAACTAGATTTGCCTTTGTCCACAGTGCGCAACATTATCAAGAAGTTTGCAACCCATGGCACTGTAGCTAATCTCCCTGGTCGTGGACGGATGAGGAAAATTGATGAAAGATTGCAACGCAGAATAGTCCGGATGGTGGATAAGCAGCCCCAAACATGTTCCAAAGACATTCAAGCTGTCCTGCAGGCTCAGGGAGCATCAGTGTCAGCGCGAACTATCCGTCGACATTTAAATGAAATGAAACGCTATGGCAGGAGACCCAGGAGGACCCCACTGCTGACACAGAGACATAAAAAAGCAAGACTACAGTTTGCCAAAATGTACTTGAGTAAGCCAAAAGCCTTCTGGGAAAACGTCTTGTGGACAGATGAGACCAAGATAGAGCTTTTCGGTAAAGCACATCATTCTACTGTTTACCGAAAACGGAATGAGGCCTACAAAGAACAAAACACAGTACCTACGGTAAAATATGGTGGAGGTTCAATGATGTTTTGGGGTTGTTTTGCTGCCTCTGGCACTGGGTGCCTTGACTGTGTGCAAGGCATCATGAAATCTGAGGATTACCAAAGGATTTTGGGTCGCACTGTAGGGCCCAGTGTCAGAAAGCTGGGTTTGCGTCCAAGATCCTGGGTCTTCCAGCAGGACAATGACCCCAAACATACGTCAAAAAGCACTCAGAAATGGATGGCAAAGAAGCGCTGGAGAGTTCTGAAGTGGCCAGCAATGAGCCCAGATCTAAATCCCATTGAACACCTGTGGAGAGATCTTAAAATTGCTGTTGGGAAAAGGTGTCCTTCCAATAAGAGAGACCTGGAGCTGTTTGCAAAGGAAGAGTGGTCCAAAATTCCGGGTGAGAGGTGTCAGAAGCTTATTGATGGTTATAGGAAGCGACTGATTTCAGTTATGTTTTCCAAAGGGTGTGCAACCAAATATTAAGTTAAGGGTGCCAATACTTTTGTCCAGCCCATTTTTGGGGTTTTGTGTGACATTATGTCATATTTGCTTTTCTGCCTCTGTTTTATATTTGTTCCAATACATACAAAGGGAATAAACATGTGTATAGCAAAACATGTGTTAATGCAATACCTTTTTTGTGTGAAATACTTGATTTTCAGGAAAAATATCAAGGGTGCCAACAATTTCGGCCATGACTGTATATACTTTACATATATATTGTAAATTTACGTGTCCCTGCCCTCAAGGAGCTTACATTTTAAGGTTTCTAACTCACGTTTAGAAAGGAGCCAATGAACCTACCAGGAGTAGGTTTCTTTGGAGTGTGGGAAGAAATACACACAGGCACAGGGAAAAGATGTAAACCCGAGGCAGGGACTGCTGTGGTTGGGATTCGAACTGATGACCCTAGCGCTGCAGGGCAAAAGTGCTAACTGCTTAGACATTGTGCTGCCCCATGACACTTGTTTAACAATCCCTTCCCTATTAGCCTAAAAAATGTCCATTACTATTTATTTTTCATGACTACTTTTTAACATTCATTGACTTCCATCTTCCATTGAATTCAGTAGGGTTTGGATTTGGCATCTGAACCAGATATATTCTGTGAACCTGTTTTGAATCAAACCCAAGCACATATGGCTCATTCCTACCACCTTTTTTCTTAGGGTCACAGTGATTTAATTATTTTTATACCTGAAGATAATAATAATGTTGATATGATATGGATCTTGATCATAACTGGACAAGATGTGAGTAATAATTTACATATTAAATTTACATCACCCTGTCCAACCATTAAAGCTTTGGTTGACTTTCCATTTTAAAGTATTAAAGTATTACGAATAAAAAGCTCTTACATGAATTTATTGCTGTTTGCGTGTGCCGTACTCCTTGTTCTGGGCACAAATAAGAAGAACATTTTAATTTGAAGGCAGCAGAGTTTCAAACATTTAGCTGCTCTATTCAAAACTGGAGGTGGGCTTTAAGCGATGGCTATACAGAGCATTACTGAATGAATTCTCCAGCATTGGTCTGTATAGAGACATGGAATCCATTGTCACAAGCTCTATTCATTCTGATTTATCCAACAGGGTCTTTGCCTAGTTACATGTAATGAAATTGCAGTGCAGAGATTGAAGGTCGATACAGGTCTTAAACTGCAATTAGTAAGAGACAATAATAATCACAGTAAATGCAAAAGTCATTTGAACAGTGGAAGATTTAAACTGTTTATAAAAGAAGATCAGTCTTACCCCCTAAAGCTTGTTTCATAACGAAATCCATGTTCCTTATCTGAGTTTTCCTTCCTAGTCAAAGAGGTATTCGCATTCAGTACAGCTGGTGGGAGGCACTAATAATGTAAAAGAAGAGAGAACGATCAGAACATGAAGAAATAGGCACGTCACATAAATGGAACAATACATATTAGGTAGCATAGGTTTAAAAAAAGCAATTATATCTTGCACATAATTTCCCTTTACCCTCATTAGAAAATTACAATAAAGTAGGACTGCTAACAAACTACAAAATCAAATATTTAATGTAAGCTGCCCATACTGGTATGGCTGGGCTCTCTATTTCTCCAAGTACCCCATTAGAAAGATTTGTATCTATTGTTGATTCTGCCACTAGAGTTATTGGATAGGATGACTTTTTTTGATAGGATGACAATGCTGTTCCTCTTATAGTAAAATCACTGCAGCACTGTCACCTTCACTACTGCTATAGCTGCACAGATGTTAAACCCTGCTCAGTTTCTCCTACCCCTCTACACCCCCACCCCGACCAGCACTGTCTACCTTGGTGCATTAGAAATCCAGCTTCACAGGTACATATACTGTACAACTAAAAAATGAAGCTATGTAAGTAGGGTTTGGATTTGGCATCTGAACCAGATATATTCTGTGAACCTGTTTTGAATCATATCACGACTTGACTACTGCAACTCCCTCCTCACTGGCCTGCCTCGCCGCTGGCTATCCCCGCTTCAGTCGATCCTGAATACGGCTGCCAGACTCATTCACCTTTCCAACCTGGCTGCCAGACTCATTCACCTTTCCAACTGCTCCATCTCTGCCACCCCCCTCTGCCAATCCCTCCACTGGCTTCCGATTGCGCAACGGATCAAATTCAAAATCCTAACACTGACGTACAAAGCTATACACCATACTGCCCCGTACTACATCACTGACCTAATATCCAAGTACCGCCCAGCACGCACACTCCGCTCCCCACAAGACCTCCTTCTCTCTAGTTCCCTGGTCTCCTCCTCCCATGCCCGCCTCCAGGACTTCTCCAGGGTGTCACCCATCCTCTGGAACTCCCTGCCCCAACCCATCAGATTATCACCTACTCTCCTCTCCTTTAGGCACACCCTGAAAACCCATCTCTTCAGGGAAGCCTACCCAACCCCCTGCTAACCTGCCGACCTCCTCCACTCTTCCTACCACTCCATCCCCCACAGCTATCTCCTCCTGTACCACTATCCCCTCCCTCCTAGATTGTAAGCTCGAAAGAGCAGGGCCCTCGATCCCCTCATGTTTTGCATTGTATTGGTATTGTTCTGTCACATGTTCTGTCCCCCTTTGCAATGTACAGTGCTGAGCAAACCATTGGTGCTTTATAAATACTGTATAATAATAATAATGTAAGTGCTAAAGTGTGTGTTTAGCTAACACATTTATTTTTAAGTTTTAAATGGAGTAGGGAAGGGTTAGGCCTCCTGTCAAGTTTGTAATGCTGTCTGTGTCCCTGCTGGATTCTGTCTCTCCATTTGAGCTGGAGTCCTTAATCACCAAAACATAAATTGATGGGAAATCTACAATTATACAGTTGTCACCAGAAGTAAGTGTAAATCTTCAAATGGCTGAACCTGTTGCTTTGACAACCTTTTAAGAGGTGAGCTCCCTTTACTTTGGGTAGATTTTCTCTCACTTACTGTTATGCCTCCAAGACAGGAAGCAAAGGAAAATCTCCCTAAAAAGACAGAAACAGCAACTTATAAGTGCTCTGGGATTTTAAGCTTCCCTACTCTATCCAAAACTAAAAAAAGTAGGAAAAAGAGTTTAAAGCAGAAATCTAGCCAACAATAACAAAATAAGAATGAATAGCTAATTAAAAGATAAAATAACAAAACCAGTTTTTTTGCAGCAAAATTTACTTGCAATCCACACAGATTTCCTACAGAGTACTTTTTTGTGCCCTTATCCTCAGTGTGATGGCGATTAGTATATAACCCATGTTCTCTGAGCCTAAGTAATTCTGGACCCACCCCAGCCTGTGACTGGACAGTAAAAGGAGAAGCAGCACAGTGATGAGCTGATCTCTCCATCACTCTGCTCTCTCCTCCTATCAACATACTTCTTGTCAACACATGAACTGATTAGCTCCCTATACTGCTTTTTCCTCTCACACTTCAGCTCTGCTTGAGAGGGACTGCAAGAGACTGAGGTCCAATTCAGGTACATATAGTGCTTTCATAAAACATAAAATGTACTGGTACTTATCTATTTAATGATACCATAGCTGCTTATATCTCCCTAGAGTTCACCTTTAAGTAACTGTATCCTAGTGGAATATTTAAACTTGGGTTTGGTTTTGAATAGTCGCAATACTAGAATCAGTATAGCTGTCCTTCCCATAAATTTGCTAAAAAATAGATGATATCAGGTGCACAGAAATCCCTTAATTCTGCTGACATTTTCGTATAATTTAACTTGGGCTTTAATGTATTTTTAAACAACTATTCTATGCTTTTGTCTCACTGCAGAAGAAACTTCCTAATTATATGCAATTGAACAAAGAGGGGCATGACACTTTTTCCAGCAAAAATAGAATCCTGAATTATTTTTGCCACCAGCTATTATAGGTTATACAAAGCCAACACAAACAAGCTAATTTACAGAGGCATGAAAATAAAGCTTAAAAGAAAACTATGTATATTCTCTTTCAAGGGTCATTCAGTGCAACAGTAATACTTCATTTAGAAAAGAGATCTAGTGGGCCGAGTCATCCATTGGCTGATTATATCTGCAGAGGATTCCAGTGGCAAGATTATCCTATCATAGATCCCTGCTCTGTTTGAATTGGGTCTTTCTTCCCATCCCAGGATGTTCCCAGACTTCACCCTGAACTCTTCATAACATAAAAAGCAGGTAACAGGTGCACTCAGTGGGACTTACAACAGGAGGAATTTCCAATATGGGTTTATTATTGTCAATGTTTTGGGAACATTGACATTAACAAAACCGAGTTAGGCAGTTCTCCTGTTGTAAGTCCCATTGAATGCACCTGTTGCATGCTTCTAATTATACATACTTTTTTCATGGATTGCACCCAGGCAATAACCCAACAAGTGTATTTAATGGCTCACTTCTACACTTCCTGCTCTTAACATAAGATACAACAAAAATTCAGCCGGTGGCATGCATCAGGGCAAGGGTTCAGGAACTCGCATCCAGAGATCTAGGCTTTGGTGTCCAGAGATTTAAGAAATGTTAGATGGTTTGGATCCTAACTCCAGACATGCCTGTGAAGGTTCATATTTATCCAGATCATGGCATAGCTAGTAGTAGTCACATTTAGCTGGACTTGTTTTGTGTTTTTAGGTTGTTTGGTAGTTTCTTCTAGCTAAGCAGAGTGGCCACATGTGTGATTATGTCAAGAGGGAGAGGCTGCCAGTGTAATTGGCAAAGAAAGCTTGAAAGAAGCAGGCAGCTCCATGCAGGGCAAAGGTGGTGATGCATTCTTTAAAGCTCGTAAAGACCAGTGTGTGTCCTGGGAACCAATGCATATTTTTAAATATTGGTACCATAATGGCCAAAATAATATGGTTGGAAAACATGCAAGTATTCAGTTAAAGACTATTGACTTTACTTTGACTTTTCTTATCTGCCTACTTGTTCCGGGTGACTGCAACCAGAAAAGGCTAAACTATTAGCATTTTCAGAGGATAATTCACAAAGGCAGCCTTCATTTTATCTTTGGAAAAAGTTTAATTTAAATATTTCTACCAGATCACAGAGCTTCCCTCTCACAAAAACACTGTAACTAGTTACTTATTTGATGTAAACAACTGTGATAAACCTATAGACCCTGTAATGAACCACTGGAAAGCTAAGATAATTACGTGCTGCAATGTTGTTGGAGTGGCATCTGACAGTTTTCTGCCTTCAAAACAGTCCCAATTACCATAATTACAAAATGTTATGGGAATTACCTGAATCTAGTTGCTAGATCATGTAAATGAGAAATGGCGTTCGGCAACCAATGGGAAACATGTCAGTTTAATCCGAGGAAAAGAGATTATTTCCTCTTCATTTACCAAATGGATTAAGCATTTGCAATGTGGACATTTCTGCCACAGATAGGACCCAAAACTGGCAACAGATAAATATGAAAATATCAAGCCGTTTGTGATCACTGGCATACACAGGGTTTATACGCGTCAGGCAAAGTCATATCATCAGAACTGCAAACTGGTATACCAAGAAAAATCCTTTTTACCCATCACATCACTATCAATTTCCACAAAACTGCACTGACACCTGTCCTTTTGAGGAATACTTAGGGAAAACACTATTTTAAGCCTTTCTGCATCATGAATGTTAATAAGCAAGTCTTGCTCTTTTGTTCATATGCATCTGTATGGTATAATTGCCTTAGCAATGTGTATATTGTACTCAAATAGGTCACGCTGTTATATAGAGAATTCTATTTAAAATGAGCTGAGGTTTCTGTCTGCAGTTATATACTTGAAATGAAATATCTAGGTATTTTAAGAAAATATTCATTTGTACTACTAATGGTTTATTTGTCTAAAAGCACATCTGGCTGCATCATATTTTCATAATAATAATTAATGTACAGTATATATGTAATTTTGTTTTTGGAAAGAGGTGGGAACCCTTACAGGTTTACACTCTCATACTGTTCTTCCATAAGCAACAAATATTAGGATTCCAGATAAAAAATCTTTACGTGCTGGTATTGTACCCCCATCATAAATCCCATTTATCTGTTGGTTCCAGAGACCTGTTGGAGATGCGGTGCAGCTAAAAGCACAGGACTTTTAATTTTACAGGTTTAAAAAGGGATGCTAGTGTGGTGGTACTACACACAGTAGTAAGTGGCAAGTGTGTCCTATTACTAATAGGCAGCATACATGTTGCGGGCCAGTCCATAGACTGTTAATCAAGATGGCAGACAATGGTATTAGTGCGTGCATGGAAAAGCATGTGGCGCAGAACCCATGGATAACTACAGGAGACTTCAAACATAGTACG